AAGAAAACGTATCGGGCCAACTCAATAAAACACGTTATCTCACTTTACCCAATTCTATAATTAACCGTGATCGTAAAAAAGTTTTTGTATGAATTCCAGTTTCTTATCAAGTATTTGCTGTATGGTCCAAAAATCAGTATGTTTAAAAATATCAAAATTTTTTAATAAAATGAATAATATTTGAATCGTTTTAAATAGAAAATTTTATATATAAAAATATTTTTTCTATCAAAAATAGTTTACAAAACTTACTTTAGATAATAATTTAATAAAATTTTGAAAATTAATATTTATATTCTTTAATAAATATATAAATAAATGAATAAAAAAAATAAACAGATATAAAAATAAACTTGTATATTTATGTATATATATTTCTGTAAAAAATAAATATTTAAAATTATTATAATTTTTCTATTATTAATAATTTCAATAATTTATCAAATATATTAGATTATTTAAGATTTCGATATAAATTTTGATTTTCTTTGGTTTATTATATTGCTTTCTGTTTTATATATTTTAAAAATTAATAATAAGTACCCTGAGAAATTAATCAATTTTTCAATATTTATCCTATTCTTTCATTTATAATGAATGATCATTCAAGTAAAAAATTAAAAATCCATAATAAATAAATATTTTAGATAATTTTCATTTATATTAACCTTTGAATGATGTCAAAATTAATTACAACATATTTCTTAACTAATATTCTCTATTTCGTATGTTTCTTATTATTTTAGAAAACATAGACTATAGTCTAATAGATATGATAAGGATTATCATGGTATACGCAAGTTTGGATTTATGATAAACGTAAACAATATGGTTTACGTTTATCATAAATCCAAATTATACCAGTTTTCCGTTTCATAATTCTGTAATTATACAAACTTAAAAACATTTTATTCTATGTCGACAATAAATTAAAAAAAAATAAAAAAAAATCGTAAACTTCATAAGGAAAAATTAAATATATATACATAAACATTATCTATCTATTTATATATATATAAAATATATAAAAGCAATATGTATCTAGCATTTCTAAGAAAGAAATCTAAAATCGCCATATTCATTTACTATATCATTACCTACTTATAATATTAATAATATCAACATAAAAATAAAAAAGGAAAAAAAGATCAATAACTTCAAAGACATTAAGACTCTATCTCATTTTTCATTTGATTTATCATTATAATTTTTTATAACATCAAGAATTATTTCAAATTATATATAATAATATTAATTTTATCAATATTAAATACGATCAATATTTATAATATAATTTAAATAGCACAAAAATAAATCAAAAATTAAAAATAGAAAAGAAAAAAAGTACTAAAAAAAAAATAACTTCATACTACGTATTTAAACTTAGTACAAGTGCACTTAATACAGAGATTAACCTAATACGAGTGCATGCAATACGCAATCCAAGTCCTCTCTCTTCTTTCTCTCTTTCTGTGCACATCGACTAGTTATCTTTGTTACTCCAACCGACTACTCGCTACGGATATATACACATGCATATCTATAGGTGTATATGAGATACATATACGTAAAAAGGCAACTACGTACGATATGGTGCAACCACATTGACCGTGGTCAGGATTGGCTCGACCGATTTATTAAGTCGTGCAAATAAGCGAACGAAAAAGTACCATCAGCGGAGCGAATTTTATTCTCCAACGGTTGATAAACGATGTGGTGATAATAATTACTAAGCGCGGCGTGATACGCATACCGACAAAGGAATAGCTGACGTAAATACCGAAAGAAAATCGATAGGGCATCGAGCGACAGTAATTTCATCTGTATATAACGCGTGATAGAAAAAAAAAAACTAGGCGGATGGACCACAGCCCGACTTTTTTTCTATAAACTAATAACCCAAAAATATATAAAAAAATTTTAGATTAGATAATAGTTTATTCCGTGCAAGTTTGTAACTACTAAAGAAACTACTTAATCAATAATAAGATAATAAAAAAGAAATGAAGGAAACCTTTGAAATATGTATATATAAATCTATACATGTTATTAATTACTTTTCCAATTTTACAAGGCAAAATTGCAAAAAGTTTTCAATTTTTTTACTACTAAAAGTTTTAGTTATTAAGTATAATATAGTAAATAATAAATCGATATAATAAATTTATATCGATTGTTTCCAAATATTTATACTAGCACAAAAATAAAAAATTAATATTTGATCATAATTATCCGATTACTTATAAATTAATGACGCATCGTTTTAATGACTAAAATGATACATTATATATATATATATATATATATATATATATATATATATATACATAAAACGTTGCATACATATATACATATCCGTGCAAAGCAGTGATAACCACGAGAGAAAATTTATCACGATCGGTGAAGTATCAATTGTATCTGATTACGTAATAGCAGAACGTTTAATCAGCTGATACGCTAGGTCGCGTGGTGAGAGAATAAACACATATCAGATGTTCTCATAAATGAACAATTCTTTCTATTTCAAGAAAAAAAAGATTGAATTATAACAGAAAAAGTTTAGACATAACAATATATATAATAAAAATTAAATATATTGTTTTCTCTATATACATACTATACTATTACAGATCATATTTGAAATTTATTTATTTCTTAATTTCTTCTAATTTATTTATTTCTTAATCTTATTAGATATTCAGTTTATTTCTTATTTATTTTAGTAAAAAAAAGAATATGTCCGAAAATTGCAAATAGATTTTATAAAATAAAGTACAAATCCTATATATATCCATACATACACGACTAACCATTTAAGATTATTATACATTTTATTGACAAACATAAACTAAGCGAATCTCAGGTATAAGCATAAAATGAAATCAATAAAATAAAAAATAAGGTTAAATCAATATATTATTTCACGTAATATAATACGCATAATATATATTATTATTCACTCAAACTTTTATATTGATGTTAATAATAAAAATAAAAAATGAATAAATATAATACGAACATGAACGTAAGGTATGCCGCGTACATTGATGTAATAATTTACGCTTGATACCTCCAACGAGAATTTTATAGCGTAAAATCATACGCATATATCTTTCTGCGTTTCTTACCGCTTTCTCGAACGACTGCTTCATTCAAGCTCTATCAATTATGGCGTACACTGTACAGCGTTCCTTTACACCATATATGCGGAGAGTAATAGTTTTGCGTATTACCTACGCGTTATCGCGTGCACGTCAAACAACAAACCAGACAAATAAAGAAAGCATACGAGACCAACTACATACGTAATATCGACAAGTAGTCAACGGTTTCGATGTTCGTGAATTTCATATCTACACGTGAGATAGATTGTGGCCGAATGGTTACAATACGAAGCTAGACACGATAAATCGAAGCATCCCCGTGTGAGTGAACGTAATGCAGCACGGTGATGAGCGTATGTAAACAAGAAGTCGCGCCGATGCGGCATGCTTCGAGTTATTTATAGAGACCCATTATTGTGCAACAAACGTGGCTTTACGTAACGCACGTAGTATACCCTGGCCGGCTGTCGGTCACTCGGCCGTATACAAAGGAACTCGCTTTCCTCGTCCTTTCGTCTTTTTTTTCTTTATTCCGCCTTTATTACTTCTTTTTTCAAATTCTACATTCTCATTTATCTTAGGTAATAAAAAAAAAACCAAAAACCACATCTATTTCGTCATGTAAACAAAAATTTGTGTTAATCATCATTAAAATCATATATTATAAAAATTTTTTTGAATTCACTTTGAAACTTTTGTTGATCGACGAATTCTTAACGGAAAAATGATCGAAAGAGACAGAAACAATATTGTCACGAAGGAAACAAATACATATATATATATATATATATATATGTATATATATATATATATATGTATATATATATATATATATATGTATGTATATATACATACACAAAGTTTGAATATAAATGTATTATGATATATAGTGCATATATGCTTTTTAAATTTTAATTGCTTAAAAAACGATAAATAATTAATAGCAACTATCTATTTTAACAATCATTTAACATTAAATTTCTAATACAATTTTTACTAAATATGATATAATAGATTATTCAAGAATATTGGAAATAATAAAAAAATTAATTGAATAAAATATTATAAAATATTATATTTAAATTATTATATTATAAATAATGAAAAAGAATAATAAAAAAAATAAAATTTAATCATTTTCAAATCTACGATTGAATTTAAATAATTGTATATTTATTGCTAAAAAATAATTATTAAAGCATGATTCTCGCGCCATGCTTGTTTGGGCGTGAACGATGATATATGCATTTGACACATCTTCAATATAAATAATTCAAAATAAATATTTTTCCGTATATATTAAATATGATACTAGAAAAATTAAAATAAAAATAAAAAAATTCATTATGAATCGAATGAAATAATCTCATCTAATTGCATCTCATAGAAGACGAAGACTATTATGCCGGCCGGCCGGCCGGCCGGCTTTACGACAGCTGGCTATCGAGACTAGGATTTTGTTTGTATTGTATACACGTTTTATCCGTGTCACGATTACCGAGACTTGCCAATGACACCGCGACGTCGACAGTGATGACGGTGTTAGCGATGGTATCGACATGATGGCGAATAGAACAAGAAGGTGATAGACATTATTACAATCGCAATTGGCATGATTTGATAAGGAGGACAAGCACGCCTTTACCAATAAATTTGTGTCATCTTAGCTGTTGAATTCGCGAAGAAAGCGCTATACCGTGTATTTAAAATCAGAAATGACGTGGCACGTCAAACTGAACTGCTCTATACACTATATAATGCTGACGTACACGCGAACGCGTATGTAACTCACATGAATTTTCAGAGTCGACACATGGCCGTGTGTGCATTTGCACATTCCGATTACTTCAAAATTTTCACGTTTAGTTTAAGTGGTTTAATCTATGAAAAACTTACCCGCACAAATTAGTTTCTTGTTCCTCGGTGGTTTCAACAATTTCTTCAAGTAGAATTCGATCCTCACTACCAAACACTGACATATCTCGTTAGTCCGCAGCACTGAGAATCCCGCCGCGCGATTCCACGTCCCAGCAACCGTCGTCGCGGCAGCGAAAAGACGACGGGCTTTTCTCGCACACTCCACAAAAACGACGCGCACACCTCACGCCTATGACGCGGATTCTCCGGAACTCGTTAATTAATTTTTTAAACCACGGTGGCACGCACCGAGATTCGTCCACGGAACAGCCACTCCGCGCGGCGCACACACAACGCCCGAACGCGTTTTGTAATGGCGATCTTTGGCGGGAAACAGCTGAGGGCCCCCACAGAGTACCACGAATCACTCCGCCACCGGCTTCAGGGCCGTCACCATTTATGGTCCATTCAGTGCCCCTTTCTCCCTTTTATAAATATGCGTCACTCTTTATTTATGCAAAATCTTTGCAAATTTTAAGTGCCGTCAAACACGTTCAATTTTTAATACAACTTATTTTTATCGTGTGTGCACTTTAACATATCTTCAATTAATCGTATATATTTGTTCAATGGAATTAATATCAATACGCATATATAAAGAATAAATAAGAATATTAACAAAGTACTTAAATTTCACTAAGATTTAAAATATGAATTGATAATGTCCAATATTTCATAAAATAGTACTACATTTCAAATCAATCGTTCTATAAACTTCATCGCGATTTATAAGATAATTTTATACCGTATATGCCGACAAAACCATCACGTGACACATACTAAATATTATTATCCAGGATGCTTTATCGATGGAAATATCACTCACACACTGTAGTAGTGAAACTATATAAATGAAAATATAATTGAATGCGTAATAAAGTTCGTTGTCTTGATTTTCTATTCTGGTAAAACACAATAGTAACATTTGCAGGTACACAATTGCAGACGTGCACAAAGATTCACGGTATTAAACGCTCGAAAACCATTTTCAAGGCACTCGCGAAAAGTTTAATGGACGCGGTTAGGGTGAACTCTACATCGTACTCTGCCCTGGACAATGACTCTCTTTGGACCAATCCCACACCAGCTCATCTTTGGTTTCATATTGCGTTTCCACAGTTTTCTGCAGGTAGTTGTAAACAGGCTACCTACTGCTTTACAACAGATCACTCGTATATCTAGATGCTTCTTAGCGAGCTATTGTTAGAAATATTTAACGCGATAGAAGGGACTACTTTCATGTCGCGTAGGTTTACGCTAGAGGAATGGTGCGGCCGCGCGGGAAACATCTGCCAGCTGGCAGAGGCCCCGCCCATAGAATACGCCAGTCTCCCCCACTTCCCCCACTTCACGAGTAAACGCACATATACTATGTTAAGCCATCTGTACATCCATGACGCGCGCGCACACAACCTTTTATCCTGGTCCTTCATCAAGTTCTCTGCGCAATGTTACATGATACGAAAGTATAAAAATTCGTTGCTTCTTCATATATATGATATATATATATATGATATCCTAAGTGGATTGTCTTGTTTATTTTTATATAAATATGTTTTAAGATGATTGATGAAAAATACATATGTAAAATAAAGTAATAAATAAAAAAATTTTATATTATATTTATTAATAATATTTTTATCTCTTATGTAATTTTATCATTAAATTAATATTTAGTTTTCATGCTTTAAAACGGTGAATCTAAATATCTAAATTTATATATTTCATTATGTTTATTAGATATATATTTTTTGATTAAATAATATTAAATTTTTAATTCATATTATGTGATATGTATTTAAATAATTTTAATACATTTTATTTATGAATTGATTACTTTTTAAATGTATTTTTTAATAATAAGCAAAAAATAATAAGTATAAAAAAATAAGTATATAATAACATAAATATAAAAATAATAAATTTTCAGAATATCATATTTAAGTATTTCATAAATTTTATCTGCTTTGATTATTTACTGAAAATTAATAATTTTTAAAAGTGTTTAAATAGTTTAATTATTATAATTAATTCTTCATAATAGAATTCAAGTAAATTTTTGTTAAAATATTTTTTAAACAATTTTTTCAGAGAAATTTCATTAATTTTTCTTATTTAAATCAATAAGTTCTCAAAAATCGTGTAGCTACTGCCATCTAACGGCCAATTATTGCACATGCTAAAAATAACGGAACGACAACCGAAATATAAACACTCAGATGATTTAATATAAACAATGTACTTTCATCATTATTTGCAAATTTTTTTACAATATATGAAAAACATTTATTTTTAATCAATCTCTCTTTAATTGTATAAAAAAAATATAGGAGTCATGAACTTACAAATAAAAAGAGGAAATAAAGATATTCTCACTTTCATACCTATCGATAAATACTGTCGATTAAATTATATTTTTTTTATATTCTGATATAATGGCTAAAAATAATATTTAGAGACTGTATTCATAGTTATTATTTATATATAATATTCATTTATATTAATATTTTACATCATATAAAATAAAAATTGCATACAATTATAATTTAGAAAGAGATAACTATGAATACGCCTTAAATGTGTAAAATGAAAATAACAATTTTTTCGTTTCTTATTCTTATTTCGTTTCATTCATTAATCCGGAAAATGATTTTTTTTTTAAACTTAAATTTTATATTTCCAATTTTAAAAATATAAATCTTATTTTAATCTTAAATCTTTAATTGTTTTTAATGTGAATGGGGAATGACATGTATGCAAGTATGAAATCATGAAGCATTTTTACTAATATATTATAAGACAGCTATTTACTCAGTATTATTTGACTGAATAAAAAATATTTTTCAAAAAGAGAAGTGCACATTTAGACTTTTTTTCAATTTTATTTTAATTAGTATGTAGTATTATTTAAATGCTCGATGTTTCGTGTAAAAAAATTGCATAAATACACGTATCATTTAATTTTCCATTATTAGTGCGTTTGTATCTTAAATTATCTAATTATTATAAAACAATTTTTAAGAAAAAAAATGTTTTTTTTTAAAATATTTTCATATTTTTAAATTAGACATTACTTTTCTCTGAAAAGATTAAAATTGTTATATTAGTTTTTATACTAATTTTATACTGGACGTTATTTTGTTTTCAAATAAAAAATGATTGATATAACACATAGAAATCTGTTATTTTTTGTTTTTTTAATTTGTAATTGATATTGTTTTATTCTTTTGTACTCACAGTTATGTGTGATTAATATATTTTAAACAAAATCCAAACTTCGTATGTTTCTAATTGTAATACTATAATGCCTCCCAATTTGTACACAATGATTTAAGAAAACATTATTTTTTCTTCAGCAGATATATCTATATAATATTCTCCGAATTAATAAATTTTTACATTGTTAATGTAAAATCGCTCATTATTATAACAAAAGAAAATACTTCGCTTTATTTCAATTCAAATTCTGGTATGATCATGACTATAAGATCTAGGTGATCATTTATATGTTTTGAATCTAATATTTTATCAATTAACTGCTAAGAAAATGTTTGGAACCAAATTAAATTGGTACCTCATGAGATTCCAAAATATTGAATAAATAAAGAGAGTAACCATGTTACTCTATCATACTAAAAATAGCATATAAGGAGCCTAAGGCAAATTAGTCTCAGACTTTGCTCGACTGGTTTGATTTACTGTAATGATTATAAAGCTACATATAGATACAATATCTGTTATACAAATGCATCAACCACTTTCTAACAATTATGCTTCTTTTATACTGTGGTTATCTCTTCATTCTTTTTCAGAAAAAGTAGCTAAACCTAATACTGTGCTAAATGCTATATTTACAAGATTGATTAGAAGTTGACCATTTCTTTTTATTTAATTATGTACATACGCGTGTGTGACTCTTGATTACAATAAAGAGTAAATCAACAAATTTATTAAAATACATAAAACTATTTTAATATTGCGAATTATATGATTAAGGCAAATATGATTGAAACTGTAATGAATTGATATTCAAGAAGTTATTTGTACTTTATGATTCATTTTACTATATTTTTATTTCCCACACTAATATATTTTTGTTGATTTACTCCTAAATTTTTGTTTTAAATTACATTCTTTAACTTTCGGTTTGTTTAAAAAAAATTCTTAAATATATTAGCATTTTTTTAAATGTGGTTCATGCATCTGCAATCAATTTAGTGCAACGTGAAAGCATGGATTTACAAATAACGGCATCGTGAAAAAATAAAAAATTGCTAGAATAATAAAATAACTTCTAATATGTAAATGCAACATGACAGATTTTTTCTTAATATTTCAGATAACAATTTACATAAATATAAATATGAATCTTCATTTTATTTTTCTATTATTTTTCTATCAGATTGTTAGAATATTAAGTTAGAAAGTCAAACTACATAAAATTATGAATTTATATAAATCTTTTCATTCTAGAATTCATCTGTTTAATTGGATACATTGAAATAGCTATTGTATTTTATTTTAATAATTATTATTTTAATAGAAAGAAATAATATATTTAATATTACAATGTTTCTACTATTTTAAGAAAATTTATCTATTTAAGTTTCAGATAATCTTGAAAGAGAATGTAAATTTTTAAAAGAGAAAATGTTTTATAAAATATTAATTTTTTAATAAAATTATCTCTCTTTCTTTCTCTTAAATACGCAAGTAAATATATTTTAAATTATTTATATAATTTCAAAACGAAATAATTAATTTTTTCTCCCTTTTTTTCTTAATGAATCTCTCTCTTTTTTAAATGAATCCTATTCTTCCCAAATTGATATTGATGAGAGAGCAAAATCTCTATTTTTAGCAATTTTGATACATATGTGTATATATATTTATTTATACATATACTTATATACAAGATATTTGGACAAAATAAATAGAAAATTTAAAGGATAATTTTAGAGGCTTAAATAAATACAAACATTAATATGCAAAATTTTTTGAAGAAAACTTATTTTTCAAATTATAAATAATTTAATTTTGTACTAAAAAAAGCGCAAAGTGAAATTGTTCTATTTTTTGTCATACTTTATTTTCATCTCTCTTTATCTAGTGCAAAATTAATTTGCTTATAATTTAAAAAATAAATTTTACCAACTTTGCATATCAACTTTTGCGTTCGTTTTAGTTTTTAAAATTATTCCTTAAATCTATGTATTTCATTCGAACATCCTGTATATATACATGTGTATATACATACATATATATA